CATGCACTGTCACTATATAACTCAGGACTTAAGCACCTGCCCCCTCCCCCTTGCTTGTTTCCTTACTTTCCCCCTGACACACTTTGGTGTATCACGGCCCTCTCTGACTCATATTAGGAAGTTTTTCCAATAAAGGCTGATAGGCTAGTCTCCAGGGAGGGTGGGTGACGGTCACAACCACGCATTATGGGTATAAAATACTTGACTGCAAGATTAACAGTGCATCAATCTTCACAAGAAGCTTACACCCTTTAGTGGCGCTAAGCTATGAAGACCAATGCAGACAAGTAGGAGAAAAAAAAACCAAACAAACAAAAAAAAACAAAGACAACTGCACAAGTTATCATCAAGTGCGGCATATACCAAGGTGATGCACTGTCCCTGCTACTGTTCTGCATAGGCCTGAACCCTCTCAGCCAACTCATCACAAAGAGTGGGTACAGATACGGGTTCAACCATCAGTCACCTCTCCACTGATCCACCTCACTCGGATCTACAGCAACGACAACGGAATGTCATTCAGACCAGGTCTGTGTGGTTGGATGGTGTCCAAGAGAGGGAAGATGATCAGAACCAAGGGGGTTGAACTACCAGAGGTCAGTATTTCAGATGTTCAGGACTGCTACAAATACCTTGGGATCCCACAGGCACATGGGAACCACGAGGAGGCTGCAAGGAAGTCAGCCACCGCCAAATATCTCCACAGAATAAGAAACTGAAAAGTTGGCTGAACGGAGAGAACAAGGTCCGAGCCATCAACACATCGCCCTGCCAGTCTTCAGATATCCCGCTGGTATAATAAGCTGGTCAAAGGAGGAGACAGAGGCCACCGATATCAAGACAGAACCAGAGCGGCTAACTGGTTTCCAGTATGATATTAAATCTGCAGGACAAAACCAGGAGACAATTTTCTTCATTTTTTGTGTTTTCGTTTCGTCTCTTCAAGGTCAGACACACACACACACACACACACACACACACACACACACACATGCTGAGCCTCAGAGGCAGAGAGCTGCTGTTTTCAGTTTAAAGGCTATCAAAACACTGCTTTGAAGAGAGAATTTATCTGTGTGTGTGTGTGTGTGTGTGTGTGTGTGTGTGCATTGAATGTGTGTGTGTGTGTTTCTGTGTGTGTGTCACAGTAGGCCATAGAGAAGCTGTTTTTTGCTTCAGGGCTTCAGCCAGTCACGCTGAGTGGGTGGTGTGTGTGTGTTAATGTGTGTGTGTGTTAATGTGTGTGTGTGTGTACCAGTCAAACAGCTGTTCAGAGTGTTGGAAGCCTGCTGGTGACACACACCATCAGGTTGTATATATAGATATATATATATATATATATATATATACGTATACATATGTGTGTGCGTGTGTGTATAAACAGTCGGTGGAAAGTTTCCACCTTCAGGCTGGTAAATATTTAAATGTAATTTTCTGTCAGCTGTGAATGTGTGTGTGTGTGTGTGTGTGTGTGTGTGAGAGACACCTGTTTGGCGGTCTGTTGTCGATTCAGACGGTCGACATGTAAACAGATATTTTTAAATCATAATTTAGCCTCAGTTTCATTTTACAAAATGTCTACGTCCACATTAGACACAACCAGCCAGGAGGTGGCGATGCGATGACATCATCGCTCATTAGACACCAGAGAGGAACCATCCAGACTTTAAACGTCAGCATTATACAAGTGACACCAGCCGTGAGTTCTGAGAATATTTCTGTGCAGATAAATGCATCTGCGTCGGCTTCAGTTGCCACTCTTCAGTTCACTGCACCACCAACGTTCACCCTGCTGACCACTTCCTGTATGAATGTAGAGCCAAACCTAACCACATGCTTCTGTTGACACCCTGGCATTGGTTGCGGTTGGTTTCATGTTGTCTGCAGCAGCTGCAGGAGGACACCTCACCCGCAATGGCCACTGACAAAGCAGCGATATGTGACAACATGTTGGGATCGCCCCCCAGTGGCTGGCTGCACTACAGGTCAGACAGGTGTGTGGGCAGGACGTGGATACTGTTGAAACTTCTACCACGCAGGCTCTGAATAACGCCACCAGCAAAAGATGACGGCGGCCATATCTGGATGTTTTAGCTTCATTTTTGTACAGCGGGAGGAAGAGGAGACACGTCAGCCATCTTTAATTACAGTTTGTGATGCAGACCTAAACATGGCGCCCGCCCTCTGGTCTCAGTAAGACAGCGGCGCAGCTCTGAGATGCAATCCCCCTTTAGCATCGTTAGCATCGTTATCAATGTTTCCACATGTTAACTTGGGTGTCTGGGCTCAGCCTTAGAGATCCTGCTGCGCTGATGGAGACTGAGACCCTGACCTCAGAGATCAGTTGACTCACTGACTTCTAATCAGACTGGAGTCGCCCCGTGCTGGACAATAGAAAGAACGCAGGTTTAAGCCTTCGGAGGCTGCGTCCACATCTTTAAACAGTCTGTGACAAGACGACAAGACGTGGAGATGATGTCATTGTTTCCCAAACGCTCCATTTCACAGGTCGGATCAATGAGTTTATAAAGATCTGAACCTCAGAGGGTGTTTTCAAAAATCTGTCTCCGTTTGTGTGGAGGAGACGCCAAGAAAATCTAAAATCTGAAAATCTCAAAAATAACACGTACATCTGTGTGTGTGTGTGTGTGTGTGTGTGTGTGCAGCTCACGGAGGCGATGAAGCTACTTTACAAACAACAGTGTCCAGTTTGTTCGATCATGTGAAAACTCTGCCTCCTTCTCTTCTTCATCACTTCTTCATCACTCAGTGAAATGACCTCTCAGGAACACATCACTTCTTTTCAGGGACATCATGAGTCAAACACCAGAGTGTGTGTGTGTGTGTGTGTGTGTTTCAGTGTGTGTTTTCTGCTGACCTGGGAGCTGCTTGTCGCCAGCCGCCGGAGCGATGCGAATGTACGGCGTGGTGAGCTGGGTGACGATTATAGCAGCTATTCATCCAGGAAGGCATGCAGAGAGACAGACAGACAGACAGACAGATAGACAGACAGGCTGTAGCAGTGGTTTGTACTGAAGCAGAAATATTAGTAACATGCAGCATCTTCTTGCTCCCCTGACGGAAGTCTGAAACTAACCGATCAATCTGCCCATTATGTTGTCGGCGCAGTGAAACACGTGCTGCTGCGTCATGTCACAGAAAAATATTCACTTTATTATCACGTCCAACACAGAGAGACGTCAACTCTCACATTTAGTATTTGGTATTTTTGCTTATTGTGATGTCAATTCCAGGAGTATCTCTAAATACTTCATATTCCTGAAACCTGTGCAGCCTGAGCTAAAAGTATATGATACTCAATAAACTGTATTGAAATAAATAATAATACAATAATTTGACATTTGATTTATATGATTTAACAAAACGCACAAAATATTTTGATGCAAAAGATTTTTAAATGTAGAGATATCAAATAGTTATTTTCAAACTTTAGTTTTTATGATAGGATAATTTTTTATGAGCAGAGTGAAAAGGCGTCCATTTGCTCCTCTGGCACCATCGCGCATTTCTGCAACCACACGACATGTAACGCAGTGATGTCATCATGGGTGTGCAATGTGATGACACCGAAGGCAAGAGCCTGACGTAAATGTTCCAGCTGTTATCTTTTTATTTTACATCTATATATATACATACATACAGGATTACTATCCCCTGCAGCCATTACAGGAAAATTCCTAAGTAAATTCCAGCTTAATTCCAGCTAAATACGACGGTGAGGTGATGACGGGAAAGACGAGGAAGAAATGTTCTCCATATTACGATTCTTACTTTAGATCTTTTTAAACAGAATCATACAAACAAAGGTTTGTTTTGAAAGGGTTAATTTTGTCTCATTCAATTAATCGATTAATCAACTACTTGTTGCAGCCCTGCAGTGTTTACAGTCATAAAGATGTTTTGTATGATTACAGCTGTTAAACTGATCCTTCATCTATTTATTAAGTCTTTAAATAAAATAAAAACGCTGAACGTGAAACGCTGCAATGGTTTTCTCTGTGTGTTCATTTGAGTCAGAACAGTGACCTTTAAGCCTGCGTACGTGAACTGTGATGACGTGTTCAAACTGTACGAATATTTTTATTTTGAGGTTTGAAATGTTCCTGTCAGGAGAGCGGAGCGCCGTTCAGATTCAGAAACAGACCTGAAAGAGAAGCTCGTTAATCAGCTGATCAATCAATCAATCAATCAATCATCAGACATTAGTAATCAAACAGGCAGAGAGGACAGCAGTTCAGAGAGAGGAGGAGGAGTTCATCAGCATCAGTCCACCAATCAGCAGCAGACGACAGTGAGTTCACTGTCCAGTTCATAACAACGTCTGTATGAAGGCGTAGTTATCGTCACCATGAGAACAGAGGGTGATGTCTGCACTGTCGATCACACAGTGTCCTGTCCTGAGACACTGTGGGGACGTCCACTCATTTCATCCTGCATCTTCTAACATGTTTGGATCTCTGATACCACAGAAGAAGAATGTTTGTAATAAATGTCCATCGACTAACCTTCACTAAAAACACCTGACTTAAAGTATTAGACGAATTTTTATATACGAGTAGATATGTTAATATATTTATTCATTCATTTCCTGGAACTGCTTATTCTTATTCTTATTCTTATTCTTAAGGGTCACTGAAGTGTGGAGCCTATCCCAGCTGACACTGGGCGAGAGGCAGGGTTCACCCTGGACAGGTCACCAGACTATCACAGCACTGACACATAGAGACAGACAACCATTCACACTCACATTCACACCTACGGACAATTTAGAGTCACCAATTAACCTGCATGTCTTTGGACTGTGGGAGGAAACTGGAGCACCTGGAGGAAACCCACGCTGACACAGGGAGAACATGTCAGAGGACCTGGAGGAAACCCACGCTGACATGGGGAGAAAATGTCAGAGCACCTGGAGGAAACCCACGCTGACATGGGGAGAACATGTCAGAGCACCTGGAGGAAACCCACGCTGACACGGGGAGAACATGTCAGAGCACCTGGAGGAAACCCACGCTGACACGGGGAGAACATGTCAGAGCACCTGGAGGAAACCCACGCTGACACAGGGAGAACATGTCAGAGCACCTGGAGGAAACCCACGCTGACACAGGGAGAACATGTCAGAGCACCTGGAGGAAACCCACGCTGACACAGGGAGAACATGTCAGAGCACCTGGAGGAAACCCACGCTGACACAGGGAGAACATGTCAGAGCACCTGGAGGAAACCCACGCTGACACAGGGAGAACATGTCAGAGCACCTGGAGGAAACCCACGCTGACACAGGGAGAACATGTCAGAGCACCTGGAGGAAACCCACGCTGACACAGGGAGAACATGTCAGAGCACCTGGAGGAAACCCACGCTGACACAGGGAGAACATGTCAGAGCACCTGGAGGAAACCCACGCTGACACAGGGAGAACATGTCAGAGCACCTGGAGGAAACCCACGCTGACACAGGGAGAACATGTCAGAGCACCTGGAGGAAACCCACGCTGACACAGGGAGAACATGTCAGAGCACCTGGAGGAAACCCACGCTGACACGGGGAGAACATGTCAGAGCACCTGGAGGAAACCCACACTGACACGGGGAGAACTTGTCTGAGCAGCTGGAGGAAACCCACACTGACACAGGGAGAACATGTCTGAGCAGCTGAAGGAAACCCACGCTGACACAGGGAGAACTTGTCTGAGCAGCTGAAGGAAACCCACGCTGACACAGGGAGAACATGTCGGAGCACCTGGAGGAAACCCACGCTGACACAGGGAGAACATGTCAGAACACCTGGAGGAAACCCACGCTGACACAGGGAGAACATGTCAGAGCACCTGGAGGAAACGCACACTGATACGGGGAGAACATGTCAGAGCACCTGGAGGAAACCCACGCTGACACGGGGAGAACTTGTCTGAGCACCTGGAGGAAACGCACACTGATATGGGGAGAACATGTCAGAGCACCTGAAGGAAACAGAAACCCACACTGATACGGGGAGAACATGTCGGAGCACCTGAAGGAAACTGAAACCACTGATACGGGGAGAACATGTCCGAGCACCTGAAGGAAACCGAAACCCACGCTGACACAGGGAGAACATGTCCGAGCACCTGAAGGAAACCGAAACCCACGCTGACACAGGGAGAACATGTCGGAGCACCTGGAGGAAACCCACGCTGACACAGGGAGAACACTAACACTAACTAAGTAATTAACTCTGCACCTTCCCCTGGAACCGGCTCTGTTCCAGTTCCCGCACCTAATTTTGAACTGTTGATACTCCTTTTCCACCAAACCAGCTCTGGTTCTTGACCCGGTTCCATTCAAGACTGTTGGAACCTTGGTTCTATCTAGAGAACTGGCCCATGTTTCCACCAGCTTTAATCAGAATGTGTCGTCAGCGGAGGGCGCTGCACCAACAGAAGTTAACATTCGTAGCAATATGGCGGTCGCATGCTTGATCACAACTATTCAGGTTAAAGATGGTGGAAACGTGGGCCGGCAACAGTCCTGAACGGAACCGGTTCAAGAACCAGAGCTCATTTGGTAGAAAAGGTCTCGGTACACACTGAGTGATTCTGGTCTGTCCCAGATTGAAGACGACCAGCGGTAAAAAAAGGTGGCGATATCTTTGGTCGTGGATCTAACACGGTGGTCCTACGTCACACAGTCAGAGACGTTCAAAGATGGTCGTTGTCACGGTCTGTGATCAAAGACAGTCTGGGATCAAACTCTGACAGTGTGATGCTGTCACCACCTACGACTACTGACCAACCAACAGAAATGCAGCATGAAATGAGCCAATCAAACAGACAGATAGCAGCTAAATCTAAAGCGCTAAAAGAAATGTGAGGAAAACCTTGTGAAGCCTTGTGATGTGTCCTCCAGCTCTGACCATGATCACCTAAAGAAGGACGAAGCGTGGAAGGAAATACAGGCAGAGCTACAGCTGTAACACACACACACACACACACACACACACGATGTGGTATATTGTGACCACTATACTTTAGATTATTGTAGGACATTTTCATCATACAGTTCTGACATTAAATTAATATTTTTTTCAGACATTTTATTAACTTATTTTCAGATATTTCATAACTTTTTTTTGTTATTTTATTACTATATTTTTCTGTTTTTAAACTTTTTTTTTTCCAGGCAATTTATTAATATTTTTCAGACATTTTTTATATCTTTGGGACATTTTAGAAACATCTTTTGGCCATTTTTTAAAAATATGTTTCACTTCAATTTTATTGACTTTTTCCCCAACATTATGATATTTTCATTTCATCAACATTTTTTCAGACATTTGATTATAATTTTTTTCAGACATCAAAAAGTTATTTTTGGCATTTCAATGACATTTTTTTCCCTGAGATTTTAATAACATATTTTGCACACATTACCAACATTTTCCACCCACTTTACACATATTTTTTGGACATTTTATATTTTTTTCAAATGATAATAATAATTGTATCAATATTATTAATGTTCCCCTCTATGTTGTGCTTCACAGTTGAAGTAATAACCCTGTGGCATCACTCAGTGTATGAAGCTGTTCCATCGTAGCCTGTGATTCAGTCGGCGCCGTCATCGTACAGTCTGCTGACATCACATCTGGTGTCGTACCAGAGTTTATCAGATCCATGTGGCACAGCTGCACTAAACTTATCAGACTGATCAGATGTCACAGTTTATTGAAGGATTAACAGAAGAGCCTCCGCCGGCTGACAGGTTCCAACCCAGAACCCCCTGCCTGCCAGGTGACAGTGCTAACCTGGTTTTTTTGTTTGTTGTTCTAAGACTCCTCAAAAACTAAAGTGAAAAGATTTCTGTTAAAAGAGCACAAGAGAATTATCTGTCCTATTCTGTGGGTCCGTCTAACAGCATAGGTGATGTCTTCTAACAGCACAGGTAATGTTGTCTAACGCCACAGGTGTCAGTGTGCAGACAGAGACCAGTGTTTGCAGCTCTCTTAGAGGTGTGGTATCAAATTAGAAACTCAGAATGTAAGTGTTAATAAGACAGTGTTAGTGTTAGAGCATTCAGATACCTGTGTGTGTGTGTGTGTGTGTGTGCGCGTGAGTGTGTGTGTATGTATTTCAGAATAAAATCCGAATCACTGCTTCCTTTGTGTGAAACTGTTCAGTTAACATTCAGCAGACGTTCAGCTCTCCTTTACATTCACATCAGCTCTGCTCACTGTTAGCGCTGCAAGGCACCATGGGTACTCTGAAACAGAGGAGGAGGAGGAGAAGTACACCCCCCCCCCACCCCCGGGAGATGTGGTTGGCTGCTGCAGCATGACTGACAGGTGTCGAGGGACCAGCGGAGCCAATCAGCATCTGGTGTCGTTAGCCACCAGAACTCTGCTCCAATAAAAGCTGATTAAAGTCACAACAGTCAATTACTGAGTGTGTGTGTATGTGTGTGTGTGTGTGTGTGTGTGTGAGATAAGCCTGGATGTTCATCAGGGGAGATAAACTGTGTTTTTAGCTTGTTTAGCTGCGCTGCTCAACAGCTCTCTGGACACCCATACAGTCACAGTCATTAGCCTTGTGTTAGCCTGGCATTAGCGTAGCATAGAGTCCAGCGTGTGCTTTATTTGTTTGGTGGGTCCGTCTGTCTGCAGAGGACATCAGGACATACGGATAGAGTGAAGGACAGATGTCAGGGATGAGCAGCCATCTGTGAGCCATTATACTTCTGGATGGGACCAGTGTGCTAACCGTTAGCCTAGCATTCCAATGGCTAACTGCCATGTGTGTCTCATTACACAGAATGGACTGGCCTCTGCCTGGCTAACTAGAGGCTAATTTAGCATTTCAATCCAGTCCAGCAGTCAGCAGAGTTCAACAGAAACTGGGTCTGAGCAGCTAGTGATGCTAAACGCTAACAGTGCAAAACCAAACGTACCCTCCGCTTTTCAAAATAAAATATCACAGAGCATATTTGAAAATGAAACGGTGCCCAACCCGTCAAAATAAAATGATATTGAACCTCAGCACCTGTCAAAATAAAACATATGTTTCAAAATAAAATTTCCTGTGAAAGTAAAATGTACTAAAACCTTTCAAATTGAAATGGACTAAAAAATGGAGTAATAAGAAACATCTTCCAAAATAAAATCTGATGAATAAAAGCAAAACAATTGATTTAAAATTTAAAGTCTTCAAATGCTGGAAAAAATTATCCTAAAGGTTTAAATAATCGCTGCAGGTGAACAGGGAAACTTCACCAGAGGTTTACTCACATTGAGACTATTATTATTAATTATTTTGTATTACAATGTTTTGAAATTTTATGTTTAAATAATTCAGTGGGCCGTTATTTAGTTAAATATGAACGTTTTGAATAAAGTCTGAACCAAAATAAACCTGAGTGTCCATTTTGGATGTTTTCTTCTCATGAGTCTGAAAAGAGACGAGTTGTTGAAGCAAAATCTAAAAATTAAACAGTGCATGAAAAACTAAGTTCTGACCTGAGGTGTCATATATCAAAATAAAAAAAGGATCATCAGACACAGCGGACCGCAGAATTTAAATATATAACTTTAAATGTTACTGTTAAAGATGTTGTTAGCATGACATCACAACTTTCAAAGCAAAATGGAACAGAGCACCGATCCTGCCTCTTTAAACCTTTCAAAATAAAATGCACACCACATGTCCTTACCTTTAGTCGCCACCCGCACACAGTCGATCTTTGTTTCCTGTTGGAGAGAGAGGCAAATTAGTTTCCTGTCAACACAAATGCCGACATATTAGCTGTCAAGTCTGGCAACTTCCTCCAGAAATACACACACACACACACACACACACACACACACACACTCACACTCACAGACGCAGGGTGTAAACAGAGCGGACAGAAGGCGAATGGCTGTGGATCAGTGCTTGTGCTGGCATTTAACAACCAACACACACACACACACACACACACACACACAGGTTGTGGTGAGAGGAGAGAACATCTTGTGTCTTTCTGGTTTTAACAAACAGACGACAAATTAACCACAAGAGCTCATGAATATTCACACTCACTCACTCACACACACACACCTACATACGTACACATTCACCACACACACACACACACACACACACACCTTCCTGTACCTCTGTCTTTTTGGGGACCCTGGCTGACATACTGTACTGACATACAGCCGCGGCTTCCCTCCCACGTCACTGTTTACGTCACACGCTGAGCTACATGTTTTGTTACTTGCTCACGCCCCCCATTGCCCCGAAAAAGGCACATTCTGTATAAACAAAAGTAGGTAGGCGGCATTTTGCTGCACTCCCCGATTTTGTTTTTATACTGCCAATGCTGAAAAAACACTGATTGGACTTTCCTGCAAATTTGCACAACTCCTGTTTAAAAAGGGCT